TCAGGTTCTATATGCAACTGCCCTACTAATTTCAAACAAAATTTAATTATAGCAAAAGGATATCTCTAATATTAGTAACATACTTAGGATGAAATGTATATTTCCCAGGAAAGGCTGTTTGGAAGGGGTTTTCTAGCGCGCAGGCCATGGTTTTTCTGTTAAACGCGGGTTTTACAGGGGGGGGGTAGCATATATATATATATATCAAGTAGCACATATGCCCCAGGCCTGTTTTGGCGCAGAACTTTTTAGGGGGACTAAATGCAGCCAAGGCCGGTTCTAAGCCCTGAACTCCTAAACGAAAATGACCAATGTTTGCAGGGAGCGCATCCCTCTCAACAAAGGTTTGGGGCTTAGGGTTTAGGGTTTAGTAGTGCATCCCAATATGGGCGCCCGACTGTTCTGAACAATCTAAAACAATCTTCTGTATTTGTGGCTGTTTATCCTCCCCACTCCCTATTAAGTACCAGTATGGAAACCAAGCTCCAAACCGTTCAGATTTCCCAGGGTTCATCGGATCTAGGATTCGCTGTAGGGTTTAGGAAAACCTTAACCCCCAAACCCCAAACCCTTAAGCCCCAAGCCCCCAAGCGGTGCTACTACCGGTTACTACAGGTGAGCATAGCTATTTAAAGGCTCATGGGATGAAACAACTATTGCTATCTGGGGTTCTAACGCTTGTACGTGGGGTAGGTTCAGTCGGGCTCGCTAATTCGAGGGCCTCTACGTCGGCTTCTAAGCCAAGGAAGAAGTAGTTTACTAAGCCTCATGAACCCGAAGCCCTCAACCCTAATCGCTACTAAGTCCCATGAGCCTCCAACTATGCTTCTTGTATGAGGGTTGCTCGCTTCTACAGCCATATGGGTGGTTGGCAAAATTATGGTCCCGTTTTGGATCCCTATTATAATACGGCACCGAAAATTAAGGGTACCCGAAAAGGGACCATAATTTTGACAACCACCCATATGCATACTCTCATAATGCTGTTTCTTCATGTGGTTCTCGAAGTTTCGCGTATGAGCTTAAGTAAACCTTAATCCCTAGCCTCTACACCCTAAAATCTGCAGCCCACCCAAACCCCTAAACCCTCAAGCCATGAGTGAGCAGTATTGCAGAAGGACAAAATCAACAGCAACAACTGCGCAAAAACTCAGATCAACACTCGCCTTTAACCCAAAACTTTAAGCCCTAAACCCTATGTAAAGAATGCAGCTTTTGCATGCAGGAGCCAAACCAACTGGAATGCCGGCTAGTAGTCTATCAGTGAGGCGTCGGAATCAAACTGAGGGGGTGTGCGATGACAGGGAACCGAACATGGTTTAGGGCTTAAGGTTTCGGGTTTCCGGCTTAGCGTTTAGGGCTTAGGGTTTAGGGCTTAAGGTTTCGGGTTTCGGGTTTAGGGTTTAGGGCTTAAGGTTTCGGGCTTAGGGTTTAGGGACTTGGAGCCCCATGTAGAACAAGGGCCAGTCCGTGATTTAGGTACTTTGTATTCTCATGGCATAGGATACCTCAAGCAGATTTTAGAAGACATCGGTAGTTATTCAGGCCCCCTGTAATAGGCCCCCTGAAAAGCAAAATAGTTTTTTTTCTTTTTTAAATTCCTAGTCCTAAGCCGTAGGCCTTATGCTGTAAACCCTTCACCTGTAATTTCCGAATTCCCCAACGCTTACTGTAACCTTGAAACCTACATCCCAAACCTCTAGCCCCAAACCTTAAACCCTACACCCCAATCCCTAAAACATAACCTCCAAAACCCAATCCCTAAACCCTCAAAACCCTAAATCCTAAACCCTGAAACCTACACCCCCAACCCTTGACTTACTGGTGCTTAAGGGAGGGTGGGGGAGTGGATCCTTGTACTAGTCCCGTCATATACCCCTAAACCCTAAACCCCAAACCCTAAACCCTTATGTTCACTTCCCCCCTCCTCCTTAAACACCAGTAAGTTGACCTGTAGTTTAAGGCATGGGGGCTTTTGTCTTCAGACCCAACGGTCATTGGGCAGTTATTAAAAGCTACCTGGGGCTTATGATTATGTAGGGGTATATAGGGGTATATAAGGATTTATAGCCCTTCAGCGTCATGAGTTTGAACGTTTTAGGGTTTAGCGTTTTAGGTTCAGGGTCGAGGCTTAGGATCGAAGGTTGGAACGGCTTAGGGGTTTAGGGTTCGTCTGCGATTTAGGGTTCAAATGGCTTAGGGTTTAGTGCTTTTCACGGTTGAGGGTTTGGGGTTTCAATGGTTTAGGGTTTCCTAAACCCTAAACCCTAAACCCTGGGCTTGGGGATGCTAGGTAAGATTACACACATATATGGCTTTCCCAAAACTAGGGGTACCATTTTGGGGGTCCCTATAATAAGGATTGTAGTATATTAGGGTCTATATTAGGGTCCCCTTATTTTGGGAAACTACCATATATATACACACTATAAACGTTGCAGGGTTTTTGTGAACCCAACACCCTAAACCCTCAACCTTCAACCCTAAACCCTAAACCCTAACCCCTAAACCCTAGTGTATGGGGTTCCTTGGGGACACTGGCAGAGTGTAGGAGAGACCACAGCCTAAATCTTAGGAGTTCCCAAGAGCTATCAGGGCCTCCTTAGGGTTTAGGGTTGAGGATTAGGGGTTTTAGGGTTCAGGGTTTAGGATTTAGTGTTTAGGGTTTAAGGTTTAAGGTCTACGGCTGTCATAGTTAGAATGATCTTCTTGAGAAACGGCCAGGTGCCGTCACAAGAAGGTTGTCGATAGTCGCCGCCCTCACAAAAATCCGATCTTCCCAATCCTATGCCCTAAGCCCCAACCCCAACCCCTACAGCCTGTACCCTAAGCCCTAATTAAATCCTAGACCCTAAACCCTATTTCATGGAAGGGGAATATTCCTTGCTGGCTGGGGGTCTGTTTTGAAGTTTCGGGCACTTGCAAAATCTTACTTGAGGTGCCAGTGGGCTTTCAATACTGTAGAAGATTTTTAAGGGTTTAGCGTGTAGGGTGGCAATGAGCTTCCAATCATGAAGAAGTCCTTTGGTAGCATAGAATGGATGTTGCAGATCGCTAGTTTTACGCATCTCCTTGTTGCGAGCTGCACCGCCTGTGGGCAGCCATTGTCTCAGACCCCTTCAACGAGGATCCGGCAGTTCGATCCCCCTTACATGTCTGTCAGTGTATGGTGTGAAATGGAGGAATTTAACTTTCGGATCCGTTTGGTAGTCTGCGGCCTGCCTCCTGCTCTGAACGTGCGATTCGCAAAGCGACGCGCTGAGAGTGCATTTTTTCGAGTTGAGAAGCGGCATCTTCTACAAATAGGGGACCCAATGTAGACACCCCCAAAATACAATCCTCGTTGTTGGGGACGCCCAACATGGTACCCCTAACTTTGGGAAAGCCCCAAGTCTTTAGGTTTAGGTTTTAGGGTTATTCATTTTGGGATCTTTAGATGTAAAGCCCTTGCCTCAGCTGGGGTTTAGGGTTTAAGGTTTAGGGTTGGGAGTTAAGTCGAATTACTCCTATAGCTCTAGCGTTGCAAGAAGCCCCAGAGCCAAAACCCCAAATGGTTTAGGGTTTAGGGTTTAGGGTCTAAACCTTAAGCCTGAACCCCCGAACTCCAAACCCTTAACTCTGAGCTCCAGGCCCCAAGCTCTAAACCTTAAACCTTGCACCCTAAATCTTTGAACGTCGGAAACCCAAAACTCTAAACCCTAACCCGTTGACCCTGAAATTTTAACCTGAAACCCTAAACTCCAAATGGACATCCGCTGAAACTTTTATATGAGCTATAGTCTAAACTCCTGAAAGGGAGTTTTATAGGGTTTTGGGTAAAGGATTTAGGGCGTAGGGTTTCGGGTCTAGACTCGTTAAAAGAGGTGTTATAGGGGATTACAGTATATAGGGGAGTCTTATAGGTTTATTAAGGGGGATACGCGGATTTTTCACGATTATGGCTCATCTACTTCCAGTTTCCATTTCACTTTCAATGTTCTTTTTCATTTGACTCTCCGTTATTGGTGTAATATCCTTAAACTTAAAACCCCAACCCCTACATACCCGAAAAAGAAAATACCATTACCCCATGATTATTATATATCCTCACGTAACCATACATATATATGTATATAATCTGTCATATATACATATGCTACCCCCCCCCCCCATTGACCAGGGTTTCTTTGTAGTCTGATGCCTTGTACGTCTTAATTGTGAGAACAACCTGAGTTGAAGAAATAGAAATAGTAGAAGGGATATTTCTAAGCATGATACTAAATAGTTGCAAGCATGTAGTAGTGAACTGGCAGGTAGAGACTTGAACTGAGAAACTGCGGATATCAAGCAACAGCGGTGAACACTGCCTTGCGGAACTGGCTGCGGCGCAAAACGCAAAAAGACAACATTTTCGCGCGAGTCTCAGAGAACTGCGAACTAGCACATCTGTCATGAGCATCCATCATGAGCATCAAGAAGGGGACTGTGAATACACATACTTTACTGACCAGGGCGCTTAGCGAACCCGGCAGTGTACTCTTTCAAAATTTCCCCTGTGCACACCCACAAGTCGTCATTGCGGTGCCAGTACTCCCACTGGGCACTCCGCACCTGCAGGGACATCATGGCAGAAGAAGCCTTGGCATTTTGATTTCTGCGCAAGCGCTCCTTGATGAACCGCCAGGCACGATCAATTATCTGAGTGCCGGCTTTAGTTTTAATTTTGCTGCCATCAGGGAGCTTGTGGGTGGACATCTTGACATAGTTTGGCTTCAACCAGATCCACTTGCCACCTCGCTTCACCTGCTTCTTCTTGTGAACCACCACATCGTGCAACATGCGCGGGACCTTCATGCGGTAGGACCGGGCCGAGTCCGAGTGCAGCACGACGCGACGGTTCTGAAGATATTTGAGTGCAAGGGGCTTCCAGTCGACCTTCCTCATGGCTCCCGGTCCTGGAGCACGAGGAACAGTGATAGCTGGATTCAGTTTGACGAGCACCAAGGTCTTAGGGCACCCGCGCTGGACCAATCCGCCCCACTGCTCCCAGATGGTGTTTTTGCCCGCGTGCCTGTCTGCATCCGACAATTCCATTGGAGTCAAGGTTTTCTTGTCGAAGGTTGCTTCGTCAACCTCGACATCTCTCCAGGCACGGGGAGCACCTCCGAAAACGATAGCCTTCTCGGCTTTGATGACATGGGCCTTTCGTAGAAGCATGAGGCTGCGGTTCATCTTCTCGATGGCCTTGTGGTTCATGTGAGTGACCAAATGGATGACACTGAGGGGAACGGAGGCGAGGCGAAGTAGAAGCGCAGTAGATTGCATCTGCAACGAGTGCCCTTCTGGACCTGGTGTCATTGCGAAGATAGGGTGCAGGTGGATGGGGGAGACATACTGCAAGCACTTGTGCCACTTGCAGCGGTGCCAAAGTCCCTTGCGACCGGAATGCTCTTTGAGGGGACCAAGTACTCCAGTCTCACATTTGGGACACACTGCTCCGGACCATTCTGGAATGAAATTATCATTCTTGAGGATTTTAAGGATATCGGCGTCCTTGGCCTTGAGGAGCTCTTGGATTGTGCGCCGCCACTTGATTTGATCCACTCGAAGGAGTCCACCACCTTGGGAGTGTCGCTGATAAGGTACCTGATTCCACGACATTGTTTTCGTACTGGAGGGCTTCTTGAGGATCATGCGGCGCACACCTTTTTTGGGAGCCGGGCAGGGATTGAAGCTCTTCGCCATCGCAGTGATTGGGAAGGATTACTACTGAGAATGCGCGCGTCCTGTTTGATGGCAAAACTGGTGAGGACAAAGTTAAAAATGATAAGTTGAAAGTGTACCGTATGCAGACTGCAGAAAGACATGAGAAGTGGCTTCTTCAGTGCTTGGCGCGTTCCTTTCCCCGTGTAGGTGACATGCTGGGTGAACTCTTCGCCGCCTACGGGTCTCACAGCAAACGCCCCTTGCCTCGTAGATTTTAACATTACATATGATGTTTTGTATATGGATTCAAATAGACGAATAATATCATTGATAATAGTTTACTAGAATAATTACTTACAGGGCTAACCAGTTTGACAAGGTGACCTCTCTGTAACTTGCACTCGCATCATGGCATCAAAATCCTCCCCAACTGCCCGCGTGTAACAGGTTATACTCATTACTTTATTGTACTCACTGTGTTTGAGAATGAATGGGGAAGTGCCATGGTGAAATTTGACAATGAGATTGTGTAACTCACTCAATGCCGTACTCGCTGTCCATGATTCGCTCGAGTTCTTGTGTGAGTCCGGGCTCCTGCGACAGGTCTTCCATGGGATCATGCACGCTTCCGTCGGGAGTAGCAACATCCATGGGAGATCCTGGGGCAGGACTGGATTCATCAAGGGCCGCGCTACCAGTAGCATGTTCAGCAGGGACAGGTGGAGCTGATGTAGCCTCTGTGACATTGGAAGCCTCGAGAGACTCAGTCTTGATATCCACAGAGCTCGGTGCTGTCTTTGCTGCCTTTTTGGGCGGAGTATCGAGGTCGATGATGGGGCCACATGACAATCCTGAAAGGGCGCGTTGAAATGGACGAGGCTCCCCTTTCACCGCAATTGCTTTGGGTGCCGGGAAAGCCGCCTCGGACGTAGGCAAGGTGGAAGCTGCTGATGGCAAACTGCGGGGCGAAAAAGAGGTAGGATCAGGCTCACCTTGGAAGAGTCGACGAAGTGATGCATTATTGACTTGGGCTCGAGGAAGTGGTAGGTTCTTGCCTGTGAGGAGAGCATCTATGTAGCGTGCCTCCCACGCAACATGTTCCGCGAATGACGAATGTGGAACAACCTTTTCAACCTTTTGGTCGCGATAGTCCATGTACCTGGCAGCAGACTGAGGCTTCAAATAGTCTACCGGCATTGCTGTGCACATGTAGGGGGCGGTAATCTCCTCCTGCGTAGCTCTCCTGAAGATGAGAATTCTGCCCGCATTGACGACGATGTTTGCGCGTTTGAGAACAGCCATGAGGTGAGGAGACTCGCATTCTTTAGGAAACACCGGACGGATGATCTCTAGGAAGTCCTTATGGTCCATGTAGAAGACAACGCCTGTGCGAGTGTTCTGGTTAGCCTCAACCCATTCCGTGCGCTCATAGTCGTTGCAAACGAAGACTCGAAACTGGCCTTGGATGAATTTGGCGGCTCCCCATCTCTCCCTCGTTAGCATAGTGCAGCCTACGTCTGTGAAGCCTTTCATTTTCCTGATGGGTTCCTCGGCGAGGCGCCCATCATCGTGGATATCGGGTCGATCTTTGCGCCCTGGTTGTCCACGGAAAAAGTCAAATTCCGAGGCTTCACGGAAAGAGGCCGGTGGTCGAAGACATTTGCCGCTTCCAGTAGCGGGAAGCACACAAGGCCATAATCCGGGCCAGTGGCGTCTTCCCGCTACCAGGCCCTCCAACGAAGCCTGCAGCATGAGTCGTCATACTCTTTAGGATAGGGTTGACGACGAAACTGAGAACATCGGGGTCTACATCAACGAGAGTGAAGTAGAAGTCCTCCACGGGGAGTGCGAGGACGCCGTCAGTGGCGATGGCTCGCAAGGCCTTCTCAACGACGGCGATAGGCCACTGGTAGATAGGAAACGCATTCATGACGTTGAGGTTCTTAGTAATCCATTGCACGCGTTTCCACTCACTCTGTAGATTGCCGGCCGCCTCCATAATGTAAGAGAAGCCCTTGTCTACTTCCTCTTCAGTAAGACTTGACATGTACGATCCTTTAGATCCCTGGCCTTCCTGTTGATGAGTCATGATCGCGGAAAGTGCGTAGCACCTGCATTGCCACCCACCCAACTGCTCGAGGAACCATTGAAAGCCTTTGCAGAAAGTCATTGCATGGCCTTGCCACTTGAGGAGATAGGGGATGCCGTGGCAAAGTTGATAGACTTGGGCCTTCCCCAATTTGAGATCCGGACTGTGCGTGTGCTTCAAGACTGTGACGTTGCCATTGTCTTGCTCAAGAACGACAAACTGGGTTATGAGGTTCACTTCCATGTTGGTTTTGGGCGAAAATGGTGTAGGAAGAGAAGCCCAGTCACCAGCATTAATGGCATTCTCAATGGCAGTCTTATCGGGAGGAGGAACATTGCTAATGACGTCCACAATGTGCTTGATGGACGCACTTTCATTAACTGTGTCTTGCAAGGGCAGGTCATTCACCGTCACGCCACCTGGAGCTTGATCGGACCAGGTTGGGTATGGAAGAGGTTTGGACAGGTACATGCCCTTGGTAGCCTCGATGCCAGTTTCAATGGAAACATTGCCGTCTCTACCCGCCATAGTACGCGATGAAGGAAAGACACGAAGCACAATAGTGGACTAGTAAGAAGCCGAAATGCTGCCAGAATTCCTGTTCAACAGCGTAAGACTCGAATGGATGCCACGGATCCTGCTCAAAAACTCATGAGGCAATTATGTGACATATGGGGATGCATAAACTCAGAGTGCAATCATGAGCATACTTTTCCATAGCCAACAAGATTCCAAGTGTGCACGCGGGCTAGACTCATTTCATGAGACGCCGCTTTGGACATGAAAGGGGAACACCTCAATCTGAGAATCACTCAAAAAGGTGTAAACTGACGCATGAAACTTCGGAGAACTCACTCTTCAAGGTACATCAGTAAATCCGCATGTTCATTATCACTCAGGTGGGCTTCATTGTCGTCGTCGTCGTCGTCGTCGTCGTACTTCTAGTAGATATTCTTCACCCGCCATACCACTGTTCCTTGCATAGAAAATAAGTAACTGAAAGAATAATAAACATGATAATCTTAAATAACACACCTCAAACAAATTACTACATCATGTCGGGTTTCCGTTGGGAAGTGTAACAAACTTACGTGGATGATGGGTGGGCGCAGTCGGAATAGGCTCGTGCCCATCACTAAATGCCAGAATGCGCTTCGGCACATGAAGGGGAAGCTTCGCCCACATTTCGCTCTTCCACTCCATTACTGCAATATATACTACGTTTCTGACGGTCTTGCAGGAGCCGAGTGGAGCTTATATGGACATAGTCATGCATGTGATGCTACAACATGTTACACTAATATACCTAAACCCATGCACTAAACCGCAACCACGCAATAGCGTAATGAGTGGCTCTGGGCCTAACCTGCCACCAATCAAAACATAGCCTTCTCAACAGCTACCCTGAACCCTAAACCCTGAACTCTAAACCTTAAACCTTAAACTCTAAACCCTAACTCTCACAACCATCATCTCCTGAGTGTTGGCCTGAGCCGTAAGCCTTAATATTTTCCGTGAAGCCATAGAAGTTCCTAGATTCATGGCTGATATCAGGAGATTCGATTGGAAACTATAAAATTCATGGAAAACATTAGCCAGGCCAATGTTTTCCATGAATTTCCATGAAAAAACAATGGACAACATTGGCCAGGCCAATGTTTTCC